TCCCGTTTCTAAATCTCAAAAATAAATAAAAATAAAAATTAAACAGATCATGTTATTATAGGTATGTTAAGTTGCCTTAATATATTTAGCTTCAAAATAAAATTTGACTTCAATGTTCAATGCTCTTTTGAATTCCTGTCATGCTTACACATGCTAATGACGCCTGCTCGCATGCAGGTTCACGTGAAAAGCCCAGATTGTGTAGCATATCATTTTATACCCATTGGTATGAACCAATGGAGAAGAGAATCTATATGTTTGACACACAGCAAGCCTGGGTTCCAATAATAATAATAATAATAATAATAATAATAATAATAACTGGGTGCAGTGCCGAAAGACCTTGGCCTGCACTTAAACACAATCCGCGCTGAAAAAATTACCCTCTGCCAGCTGCAAAAGGCCACCTTACTGGGATCTGCACACATTATTCACAGATACATCACACAGTCCTAGACACTTGGGAACTGTCCGACACGTGATCCAATACAACAGGCAGCAGAGTGTCTGCTGTGGACTTATCTTGAGGAAGAACTTCCTGACTGTGAGAGCCGTTTAGCAGTGGAACTCTCTGCCCCGGAGTGTGGTGGAGGCTCCTTCTTTGGAAGCTTTTAAACAGAGGCCTGATGGCCATCTGTCAGGGGTGCTTTGAATGCAATATTCCTGCTTCTTGGCAGAATGGGGTTGGACTGGATGGCCCATGAGGTCTCTTCCAACTCTTTGATTCTATGATTATATGTTGTGTTTCTAATAATAATAATAAATGAAATCCAGCATATAGATCTCATTTGCTGTGACATACTGTGTTTTTCCATCAGTAAAATAATAATAATAATAATAATAATAATAATAATAATAATAATAATAAACATGTAAAAACTGTGGTCAGCAAAGAATACATTCAAAGGATCAAAAGCAAGCTCAATGGAGGCAATGCCATCAAGGCCATAAACACCTGGGCCATACCTGTCATAAGATATACTGCTGGCATCATAAACTGGACGCAGGCAGAACTGGACAATTTGGACAGAAAAACTAATAAACTCGTGACCATTCATAATTCATTACATCCTCACAGTGCTGTTGACAGGCTCTATCTGCCTAGAAAGTCTGGGGGCAGAGGACTTTTACAAGTCAAACAACCAGTTGAAGAAGAAAAACACGCCCTGGCAGAATATGTCAAGGAAAGGCAATAATCTGCTTTAATTGAAGTCAATAATCGGAAACTTCTCAAAGCACAGCAAACAAAGAGTCAGTACAAGAAAACTGCACTCCAAACCAGAGCTGACAGCTGGCACAACAAAGCCTTGCATGAGCAGTTCCTTGAAAAGATTGAAGGAAAAGTTGACAAGGAGAAGACCTGGTGATGGCTCATGAATTGAACCCTGAAGAAGGAGAGAGAAGAAGGCTTGATTCTTGCAGCCCAGGAGCAAGCCATCAGAACCAATGCCATTAAGGCCAGGATTGAAAAATCAGCTGATGACCCAAAATGCAGACTGCAAAGAAGCTGATGGAACCATGGACCATCTCCTCAGCTGCTGCAAAAAAATCTCACAGACGGACTACAAACAGAGGCACAACTCTGTGGCCCAGATGATTCATTGGAACTTATGTCACAAGGACCACCTGCCAGCAGTAAAGAATTGGTGGGATAATAAACATACAAAGGTCGTGGAAAATGAACATGCAAAAATACTGTGAGACTTTTGAATTCAGACTGACGAAGTTTTGGAACACAACACGCCAGACATCACGATTGTGGAAAAGAAAAAAGTCTGGATTGATGTCGCCTTACCAGGTGACAGCCGCATTGAGGAAAAACAACAGGAAAAACTCAGCCGCTATCAGGACCTCAAAATTGAACTGCAAAGGCTCTGGCATAAACCAGTACAGGTGGTCTCAGTGGTCATTGGCACACTGGGTGCTGTGAGAAAAGTTCTCAGCCGGCATTTGGAAACCATAAACATTGACAAAATCATGATCTGTCAAATACAAAAGACCACCTGACTTGAATCTGCACGCATCATTCAAAAATACATCACACAGTCCTGGACACTTGGGAAGTGTTCAACTTGTGATTTTGTGATACGAAATCCAGCACATAGATCTCGTTTGTTGTGACATACTGTGTTTTTGTGTATACAGTGAAAATAATAATAAATAAATAATAGTAAAGGTGGTCCCAGTGGTGATCGGCACACTGAGTGCAGAGTCTAAACACCTTGGCCTACACTTAAACACAATCTGCGCTGACAAAATTACCATCTGCTAGTTCAAATCCGGGGTGCGGGGTGAGCTCCTGCTGTTAGCTCCAGATTCTGCCAGTCTAGCCGTTTGAAGGCATGCAAATGTGAATATATCAGTAGGTACCGCTTCGGCAGGAAGGTAACAAATCGCACCGGCTTTCATGCCCTTATCATTTAGGTAGCGTATTACAGTGCGAACTTCACACTTGGAGGGAAACAGACTGAGGACACTCATCTCTAATATTCACCGTAACGCCAGTCGATGAGCTACTGACGGCTGGCACTGCTCCTTCACTTCTCGCTGCGATAGCTACATGCCTTGGAACTTTACTTTCCGAATATCCCTCGTACATTGTGAACTTTGCACTTGGAGGGAAACAGACTGAGGACGCACATTTCTAACCTTCACCTCAATGCCAGTTGATGAGCTACTGACGACTGGCACTGCTCCTTTGCTTCCACTGGCTTCCCGCTACACAGCAGTGATACCAACTTCCCCCAAGATAATTCCCCGCGATAGCTACATGCCTTGGAACCTTACTTTTTGAATATCCCTCGTACATTGTGAACTTTGCATTTGGAAGGAAACGGACTGAGGACGCTCATTTCTAACCTTCACCCCAATGCCAGTCAATGAGCTACTGACGACTGGCACTGCTCCTTGGCTTCCCTACAAGAGATACATGCCTTGGAACCTTGCTTTCCGAATATCCCTCGTACATTGCAAACTTTGCACTTGGAAGGAAATGGACTGAGGACGCTCATTTCTAACCTTCACCCCAATGCTAGTCGATGAGCTACTGATGACTGGCACTGCTACTTCGCTTCCACTGGCTTCCCGCTACATAGCAGTGATACCAACTTCCCCTTGATTGCATTGCTGGCATGTCTTTGTGGTTGCCTTTTACCTCTCCTCCAAAAGCAGTATTTGTTGATCTACTCATTTCTGTTTTCAAACTGCTAGATAAGGAGAAGCTAGGGCTGATGGCGGGAGCTCACCCCAACCAGTGGCTTGAACTGCCAACCTTCTGGTCGGCAAGATCTTCTGTATTAGGTGTGAACACCACCAGAGGGCAGCACAGCCTTTGGGATTTCACAATCCCATTTTAGACATGTTGGTAAGCTGCAAATAGAACAGGCTTCCTCTGTTACAAGCAGTTGCATCAGTTGCTTTCAAGGAGAGGCTGTTGCTAACATTGCTTTGGATGCTGGCCAGTCCGTTCCCTTGTGTGCGCCACCTGAGGAGGCATCTCCACATTCTTTTGAGACGATCAAGATATATCTGAGTTAAGAATCTTTTAGAATGGAATAGCTTTTGTGTTGTAGAAGGCTTTCATGACCAGAATCACTCGGTTGTTGTATGTTTTTCGGGCCGTATGACCATGTTGCAGAAGCATTTTCTCCTGACGTTTCACCTGCATCTAGATGCAGGCGAAACATCAGGAGAAAATGCTTCTGCAACATGGCCATACAGCCCGAAAAAATACAGCCACCCATAGAATAGCTTTATTTGCCATTGTGCTATTGCATAGTGCAATTATTTTATTTATTTATTTATTTATGACATTCGTATGCCACCCTTCTCACCCCAAAGGGGACTCAGAGCAGCTTACAAGATATATATGCATACAATATATTATTAGCATAGTACAATATCAGTATTAAATATTACTATATTGTACTATACTATTATATTGTAATATTATTAGTAATATTACATGTAATATAAATATATAATTACAATATATTATTAATATTATATTGTATTACATTATAATATTATAAATATTATTTGTATATACAATACATTATATTTTTTTAGCGTAGCACAATATCAGCATTACATATTACTATATTGTACTATACTATTATGTTGTAATATTATTAGTAATATTACATGTAATATATATAATTACAATGTCATATTATTATTAGTATTATATTGCATTACATTATAATATAAATATATGTATATACAATATATTATATTATATTTTTAGCATAGCACAATATCAGTATTAAATATTACTAATATAATTACCATTATATTGTAATATTAGTAATATTACATGTAATATAAATATATAATTACAATATCATATTAGTATTATAGTGCATTACATAATATTATAAATATATGTATATACAATACATTATATTTTTTAGCATAGTACAATGTCAGTATTCTATATTACTATATTGTACTATACCATTATATTGTAATATTATTAGTATTATATTGCATTACATTATAATATTATAAATATATGTATATACAATACATTATATTGTAATATTATTAGTAATATTACGTGTAATATAAATATATAATTATAATATCATATTAGTAGTAGTATCATATTGCGTTACATTACAATGTTATGTTTATGCAATACATTATATTATATTTTTAGCATAGCACAATATCATTTATAATTGTTGCTGCTATGTATTTATCTTACTATGTGTATTGCTGGCATCGAAGTGTGCCTTTTGTAAGCCGCCCTGAGTCCCCCTTTGGGGGTTGAGAAGGGCGGGGTAGAAATACTCGAAATAAATAAAAATAAATCAGTATTATATATTACTATATTATACTATACCATTACATTGTAATATTATTAGTAATATTACTTGTAATATAAATACATAATTACAATATAATATTAGTATTATATTGCATTACATTATAATATTATAAATATTATAAATTACATGCCTTCCCCTGAACACACCACAAAACAACACAAGGAAGGCTTTGGGGCACTGAACAGTTTGCAAATGTTTTATTGGCACTCAAACTTCCATCATTATAAGTGCATCTAAGAGAAGGGGATCCCCAAGACCAGCTTTCAGGGTCTTCGTGTTCACCTTCCCAACATTCTCACAAGATTCCCATATTTTACCGTCTTGCTGAAAGAAAAATGTGATTATATTTCACAATCCATATTTTGGGCTAGGCTCCCTCTGTATGTCAGGCCACAAATGCGAGGCTAAGAGAGACCATTCTGTGCAAAATAGTTTACTTTGTAAAAAAAAAAAAGGCATTGGTCTTACAATCCGCACCTTATGTCCGCACCAGACAGTCAGTACAGTTTTAGATGGCCCGAAACTTGATCCACAACCTCCGCCGGCCCTGGGCCGATGCCAAGCACAGTCCGGGAGCCTGGGGCGATCTGGGTACGCCCGGCATCTTGGATCAAGCTCACCGTCAGCCCCAACCTTTTTGCTTCGCTCAGGAGCTGGACGAGAGCTTCTTCGTCGGGAGCTTTGAGGACCACCTTGGGCTGCCCGCAATACTCCCACTGCTTCAGGAGTTCGGGGCTGCGGCGCTGGAGCTGTTTGTACGCCGAGACGGCAGCGTGGGAGCACTGGGCGGCCACTTTGCCCTTCCCCATCTTCAGGTCGTTCCGCACCACCACCACCATCTTGAATTCTCCGGATTCCCCCATCACACTGGCTTCGCTGCCCACTTCGTCGGCAGCCGTGGGCCTCCTGGCTTTGGCCGGTCGGGAAAAACGGCCCCGGAGACCCCAGCCCAGGCAGACCCCGCAGGCAACGCTGGCAATGATGCCGAAAAGGCCGGGTTTGGAAAGATAATCCATAGGCACCCCTGCAGACAAAGGAGAAAGGGAAAAGGAGGGCATTTCAGGAAAGCTCTGAACAATTGCAAAATGAGCACAAAGATTCAAATTTGGAAGTTATCTACCCATATCAGGCTTTCACCAGAACTTCCAAATACAGCGCTTTCTGACAGTGACATGACATACCTGGGCGTCTCTTTCAAGGGAATTTTTACATGGCCTCCTCTTTGTGAATAATTTAATATAACATGCTATTATTATCTGTGGTTTCCTGCAAAAACGAAGCTGGACCAGAAAGCCACTGCGAACACTCACAGCAACCCAGTGATTTTGGCCATGAAAACATTCGACAACAATAAGGAATGCTAATAGATTGAATATTAAAATATTGAATATAAATATACTGAATATTAAAATATTGAATATAAATATACTGAACATTAAATATTGAATATAAATATACTGAATATCAATACATTGCATATTAATATACTGAATATTAAAATATGGAATATCACATATTCAATATTAATATATTGAATATTAAAATACTGAATTTCACATATTCAATATTAGTATATTGAATATTAAAACACTAAATATTAATATACTGAACATTAAATAATGAATATTAACATATTAAATATTAATATACCAAATATCAATATATTGCATATTAATATTGCATATTAATACATTGAATATTAAAATACCAAATATCAACATTAAATATTACTATATTGAATATTAAAATAATGAATATTAACTTATCAAATATTAATATACTGAATATCAATATATTGCATATTAACATACTGAATGTTAATATACTGAATAGCAATATTAAATATTAACATTGAATATTAAAATAATGAATATAAGCATATTAATTATCAATATAGTGAATATAAAAATATTGATACATTGAATATAAAAAAACCGAATACGTTATATTAATACACTGAATATTAAAATACTGAATAGGAACATTAAATATTAATATATTATATATTAAAATAATGAATATTCACATATTAAATATTAATACATTGGATATCAATATATTGCATATTAATATATTGAATATTAATATACTGAATATCAAAATATTAATACATTGAATATTAAGACAATATGAAAAAATTAATATTAATATACTGAGTATCAACATATTGCATATTAATATATTGAATATTAATATACTGAATATCAAAATATTAATACATTGAATATTAAGACAATATGAAAAAATTAATATTAATATACTGAATATCAACATATTGCATATTAATATATTGAATACTAAAATACTGAATATCAAAATATTAATACATTGAATATTAAAATACTTAATAGCAACATTAAATATTGATATATTGAATACTAAAATATTGAATATTCACATATTAAGTATTAATACACTGAATATCAATATATTGCATATTAATATATTGAATACTAATATACTGAATATCAAAATTTTAATACATTGAATATTAAAATACTGAATATCAACGTAATATTAATACACTGAATATTAACATATTAAATATTAAAATATTAGTACTGCACATTAATATTGCATATTAATATGGTGAATATTAAAATAATGAATATTAACATACTAAATATCAATATACTGAATATCAAAATATTAATACATTGAATATAAAAATATCAAATATCTACATAATATTAATACACTGAATATTAAAATACTGAATAGGAACATTAAATATTAATATATTGTACATTAAAATAATGAATATTCACATATTAACTATTAATACATTAAATATCAATATATTGGATACTAAAATACTGAATATCAAAATATTAATACATTGAATATTAAAATAATATTAACATTAAATATTAAGACAGAAAAATTTAATATTAATATACTGAATATCAATATATTACATACTAATATATTGAAGATGAAAATACTTCTCAGGATTGCCAGCAAAGCCGTGACGTCACCAACTCCCTTTGACCAATCGCAATTCGGCGCGTGCTTTTTCTCCCTCTCTCACGCCCCGCCCAGCCGGGTGGCGTGAACCAATCGGAACGCGCCTTCCAAACGCATCGAGCGGACCTTCCAATCACGTTGCCCCTCTCATAAGTGGAGGGAAAAAAATAGACCATGAATGAAAGACCTTTGGGTTTTGGACACCCCAGCGGGGCAGCCAATCACGGGCGGAGTTAGGGAGTAATGGGCGGGCTTTGGGACTAGAACAGCCAATGGGAACTCGACGTTGAGTTTCCCTCAAGAGAGCTTACCTTTTGAGAGAGAGGAGAGAGAAAGAGGAGAGAAAGGCGCGTGGAGGAGGGAGCCAGAGCGGAACCGGAAAGGACGACACAGAAGGGCCGCTTCCGGAAGGCGGGGCCACAGGGGGCGGACTTCCGGGCTGGCCTTGGTCCAGAGAGAAGGAGGAGGAGAAAGAGGAGAAGGAGCCGGAAGCCGCGCGTGAGGTAAAGCCAGGCAGCCAAAGCAGGCCTGGGCCAACTCGGGCCTTCCAGGTGGGTTGGACTCACAACTCACACCATTCCGAACAGCCTACCGCCTGTTAGGAATGCTGGGAGTTGTGAGTCCAACCCACCTGGAAGGCCCCAGTTGGCCCAGGCCTGCCTGAGACACCATGACAGCTTGGGAGGGAGGTCTGTTGGGAACTGTATATATTTGTGAATGTCGTCATTGGCCAGCTTGGTTAGCACTAAATTGCCTTGCAGGTGCAAAGTCAATCAGTGAGGGTATCTGCATAGAGGTAGCCTGGCCTTTGTTGCCTGGAGGCATCCTCTGTGGAATGGGGTCCAAGGTGGAACTCTTGTCTATTCGAGGCAAATGTGAATGTTGTCATTGTCCAGCTTGATTAGCACTAAATTGCCTTGCAGGTGCAAAGTCGATCAGTGAGGTTATCTCCATAAAGGTAGCCTGGACTTTGTTGCCTGCTGGCATCCTCTGTGGAATAGTGTCTAAGGTGGAACTCTTTTGTGTTGGAGGAAAATGTGAATGTTGCCATTGGCCAGCTTGATTATTATTTAATGGCCTTGCAGGTGCAAAGTCAATCAGTGAGGGCATCTCTGATTGACTTTACTGGAGGCATCCTCTGTGGAATAATGTCCAGGGTGGAACTCTTGTCTATTGGAGGCAAATGTGAATGTTGTCATTGGCCAGCTTGATTAGTATTGAATGGCCTTGCAGGTGCAAAGTCAATCAGTGAAGGTATCTTCATAGAGGTAGCGTAGCCTTTGTTGCCTTGAGACACCCTCTGTGGAATAATGTCCAGGGTGGAACTCTTGTCTGTTGAAGGCAAATGTGAATGTTGTCATTGTCCAGCTTGGTTAGCATTGAATGGCCTTGCAGGTGCAAAGTCCATCAGTGAGACTATCTGCATAGAGGTAACTTGGCCTTTGTTGCCTGGAGGCACCCTCTGTGGAATAATGTCCAGGGTGGAACTCTTGTCTATTGGAGGCAAATGTGAATGTTGTCAATGGCCAGCTTGGTTAGCATTGAATGGCCTTGTAGCTGCAAAGTCAATCAGTGAGGGTATCTTCATAGAGGTAGCCTGGCCTTTGTTGCCTGGAGGCATCCTTTGTGGAAACATGTCCAGGGTGGGAGGAGGAACTCTTGTCTGTTGGAGCCAATGTGAATATGAAAGGGTGAACACTCCTGTTGTTATTGTTTTGCTTTCTATTCCTGTGACAATTGGATTTCGAACATGTTGGCTTGTTGTGGTAACAAAGTTTGGAGATACAACCTGCTGTAGTCTCACCCCATTTGACCCTGAGGCAAGTTAATGTTATATCTGGTTCCTTCCATACCTGATGCATCTCATTTGATTCCAATTTCTGGTATTCTCAGGAAAGCATATGGTCCTCTTTTCTGGATTCTCACAATCCCATTTTAATCTCCTGGTGGTGCTGCAGTGGGTTAAAGCACTGAGTTGCTGAACTTGTTGACCGAAAGGTCGCAGGTTCGAATCCGGGGAGTGGGGTGAGCTCCCGCTGTTAGCCCCAGCTCCTGCCAACCTAGCAGTTTGAAAACTTGCAAATGTGAGTAGATCAATAGGTACCGCCTTGGTGGGAAGATAATGATGCTCTATGCAGTCATGTCGCCCACATTATAGGTACTCCTCCGGTGGGAAGGTAACAGCGCTCCATGCAGTCATGCCATTGGCCACATGACCTTGGAGATGTCTATGGATAACGCCAGCTCTTCGAATCCAGGGAGGGGCATAAGCTCCCGTTGTTAGCCCCAGCTTCTGCCAACCTAGCAGTTCGAAAACATGCAAATTAGATCAATAGGTACCGCCTTGGTGGAAAGGTAACAACGCTCTATGCAGTCATGCCTGCCACATGACCTTGGAGGTGTCTATGGATAACGCCAGCTCTTCGAATCCGGGGAGGGGCATGAGCTCCGGCTGTGAGCGCCAGCTTCTGCCAATCTAGCAGTTCAAAAACATGCAAATGTGAGTAGATCAATAGGTACCGCCTTGGTGGGACGGTAACGACGCTCTATGCAGTCATGCCGGCCACATGACCTTGGAGGTGTCTATGGATAACGCCAGCTCTACTAATCCAGGGAGGGGCATGAGCTCCTGCTGTCAGCCCCAGCTCCTGCCAACTTAGCAGTTTGAAAACATGCAAATGTGAGTAGATCAAAATAGGTACCGCTCTGGTGGGAAGGTAACAACACTCTATGCAGTCATGCCGGCCACATGACCTTGGAGGTGTCTACGGACAACGCCGGTTCTTCAGCTTAGAAATGGAGATGAGCACCAACCCTGAGTAGATCAATAGGTACCACCTTAGTGGGAAGGTAACGATGCTCTGTGCAGTCATGCCGGCCACATGACCTTGGAGGTGTCTATGGACAACGCTGGCTCTTAGAAATGGAGATGAGCACCAACCTCCAGAGTTGGACACGACTGGACTTAACGTCAAGGGAAAACCTTTACCTTTAGCAAATTAACATAAAACTTGAAGAGGAGCCTTGGCCTTTGTGTTTTGTAATACTGAGCTAACTACACGCTTGAATGCTTTATTGCCTGGCTATCGTGGCAATTTATCTCTCTTCAAAAGGTCAGTTCCAGGTAGATCTCTTTCCTCAATACCTTCACACCTGAATAATTCCGTACCTTTTCCTCTTCTGTTTGCGCCCTCTAGTGTCGGAATCTCACACCATTCCCATTTGGCTCTGAATCACCAAATTACGAAAAAAGATATTTAATAGACAATAATGGGACTTGCTAAGGAGAGAAGTTTAGAGCTCTTGATGTATATATTATGGTAAAGATAGGAATTACACAGGGATCCTAAAGGTATAATAATAATAATAATAATAATAATAATAATAATATAATTATGCATTTTATATTATGTGTAATATTACTAATCGTATTCCAATATAATGATGTAGTACAATATAGTAATATATATAAATAAAAATGTAATGTTCGTTTGTGGGATTAACATAACTCAAAAACCACTGGACAAATTGACACCAAATTTGGACACAAGACACTTAACAACCCAATGTATGTCCTTCACTCAAAAAATGGATTTTGCCATTTGGGAGTTGTAGTTGCTGGAATTTATAGTTCCCCTACAATCAAAGAGCATTCTGAATCCCACCAAGGATGGAATTGAACCAAACTTGGCACACAGTTTTCCCATGGCACACAGTTTGAACCAAACTTGGCATGCAGTTCTCCCAAGGGTTTGGTGGGCAGTGTCCTTTGGTTTTGGAGTTGTAGTTCACCCACATCCAGAGATCACTGTGGACTCAAACAATGATGGATCTGGACCAAACTTTACACAAATACTCAATATGCCCAAATGTGAACACTGGTGGAGTTTGGGGAAAATAGAATCTTGACATTTGGGAGTTGTAGTTGTGGGATTTATAGTTCACCTACAATCAAAGAGCATTCTGAACTCCAGCAACGACGGAATTGAACCAACAGAACTCCGAAGACCAACAGAAAATACTGGAAGGGTTTGGTGGGCAGTGTCCTTTGGTTTTGGAGTTGTAGTTCACCTACATCCAGAGATCACTGTGGACTCAAACAATGATGGATCTGGACCAAACTCTACACGAATACTCAATATGCCCAAATGTGAACACTGGTGAGTTTGGGGAAAATAGAATCTTGACATTTGGGAGTTGTAGTTGCTGGGATTATAGTTCACCTACAATCACAGAGCATTCTGAACCCACCAACAATAGAATTGGGCCAAACCTCCCACACAGAACCCCCATGTGGGCCACAGCAACGCATGGCAGGGGATGGCTAGTATATAATACTGATATTGTACTATGATAATAATTTAATATATTGTATGTATATATTTCTTGTGGAGCCCCCGGTGGCGCAGTGGGTTAAAGCACTGAGCTGCTGAGCTTGTTGATCGAAAGGTCACAGGTTCGATTCCGGGGAGCGGCGTGAGCTTCCGCTGTCAGCCCTAGCTTCTGCCAACCTAGCAGTTCGAAAACATGCAAATTGAGTAGATCAATAGGTACCGCTCCGGCGGGAAGGTAACGGCGCTCCATGCAGTCATGCCGGCCACATGACCTTGGAGGTGTCTACGGACAACGCTGGCTCTTCGGCTTAGAAATGGAGATGAGCACCACACCCCAGAGTCAGACATGACTGGACTTAATGTCAGGGGACTACCTTTACCTTATATATATCTTGTAAGCTGCTCTGAGTCCCCTTTCGGGGTGAGAAGGGTGGCATATAAAGGTCATAAATAGAATAATAAATAAATATTATAGTGAGGCATGAAAGAGTGCAGTGTTTGTCGAAGTGTTTAAGCGGTGTCTGTATGTTCCTTCAGTGAACTTCCCAGTTGTCATAGAATCATAGAATCAAAGAGTTGGAAGAGATCTCATGGGCCATCCAGTCCAACCCCATTCTGCCAAGAAGCAGGAATATTGCATTCAAATCACCTCTGACAGATGGCCATCCAGCCTCTGTTTAAAAGCCAAAGAAGGAGCCTCCACCACACTCCGGGGCAGAGAGTTCCACTGCTGAACGGCTCTCACAGTCAGGAAGTTCTTCCTCATGTTCAGATGGAATCTCCTCTCTTGTAGTTTGAAGCCAATTTTCTTGTCAAATGAGGCCAAGAATCTCCCACTGAACTCTGCCAAAGACTGTCTCGCCTTCTGGCTCGGGTCTGGACAGAGCGCTGCCCGGAACGTAACCTGATAAGTGCTACTTCGCCAGTTGACAATTACAGATTTTGGTTGGACAGGGACTCTGCCTTTGCGATAAATATTGCGGTACCAGTTTAGCTGGAAAGGAGAGAAATAGAAATACAATACAAGCAGCAAGTCTCATCAAAGGCACGAGGCACTGTTATCTGTTTTGGAGATTTCTTTCTGCAATCTCAGCATTTTAGTTGGTTCGCACTTCCACTTTGTAAGTCCGAAGTGCGCTGTGGCTTCTGGAGGTGGATACGTCGAAAAGAGTAATGGCTTTGTGGCAGTGCAAAGTCTGTCTTCAGCAGTGTTTCCC